TCCCTAGTGCATATTAAGGTAGGTGGGGCAATCCTTAGAAGTTGTCACATGATTATTACCACAGTTGAGGTACATGATAGTAATGTGGAGGCAGGCTTCACCCCTGGTATGACAGTTTGAACGTCTACAGGTATACAGGTGAGCTAGGTCTTCCAGGGAACAAATAGCACAGTGGGGGGAGTTTTGGTGTATTGGGTAGGGTGGTGACCAAATTCCAAGCATCTAGAGTATTGGGCAGCAGGACCAAAGGACAAGTAACATTATAGCTTGAACTTTCTGCCAAAGAGTGAGAGGACTCTCTGCTGAGGTCTTTTTCTGTGGACAAGGTACCGGCAATGGTGTGGACCATAGCAGAAGTTGCTTTGTCCTGGTGGTGGACTTCTGTGGTGAGTTATCTGGGAGGGCAGGGGAGGTGGGATTCAGGATTGAATGCCTCAATCACAGCTTAGACAGTGGGGAAGGTAGTATTGGTAGGGATGCCCTGTATGATGACCATTTACTAAACTTCATCTTTTTTGAGGCCAGTGGCAGCAGGAATGGTAGATCTGATTGATTCCTCAATAACGAGCTGGTACTTTTTAATGACAGTGGAGGTAGGAGTACTCTCGTTAGTGATGAGGAGAACATAGTGGTTGGGCGTAAACTCAATAGTAGAGATAGGTTACTTCTAAATTGCTGTGTTCACAGCATCGCAAATGGTGAGGTGGTTGGTGTTGTCTGGTAGTACTGTGCCATCTCTCTCAATGATATTGGTACAGTCAGATTTGGTGAGGGGGGCAGAGAGTGGCCTTTTGTTTGGTAAGGTGGTTACAGGTTTGACTGGAAGTACTTGGGCAACTTTCTGGGCCCAGGTTTGCATAATGTTTGGTGGTAGGAGGGTAGATTGGTATTGGATAGTTGGTTGTTATAGAAGGAGTTGGGACTCAAGTAGTACAACTTGAGAGGTGAGCATAGTGACCATGTCTTACAAGTCTTCGATGACTCTGATGTGGTGGTCTTAGACAATGAGCATATGTTGTTCCATGTTCTGGAAGGCTGTCTTCAGGTTGGTATATTTTACAATCATAGTGTTGAGGTCCAACCACATTTGTTGAACAAATGGACCCAGGTCTTCAGGAGAAAGATCAGTGTTATTCTCTTCCTCTGCAGATGAGTTGGGAGACAGCATAGTGTCAACAGGAGAAGGATTCTACTCTGCTATCCATGTGTCCTCTGGAGGCATGGGTTAGGTGGATATGTCGGGTTGGAAAGAGGGAGCAAGAGGTTTTGCAGTAACCCTGCCTCTGCCTCCAGTCCGTGGAGGCATCAGATGTGATAGAAGATGGACTCAGTTGATGAGAGGTAACGTAAAACAAATAATAGAGGATGATTTGTTGATGAAAAGTCTATAGAGTAGTTAGAGAAGTGTGAAGATTTAGTTGTTAACCAATGAGGTAGGTACTTGGCAAAAAACTTATTGTGGTTTTTTCTTTCATTGTAGTTGTAACGGTACTGGAGTCTATAAATCAGAGATAACTGGTGGCATTCAAATAAAGACAATATAGTACTCCAGATCCTATAGAATCACAATCCACACTATAGGATACACATGAGACTTGTGAACCTGGATGCCCTTTGGCATAGAGGCAGAGATCTGCCTACAGAGGCTGTTGACCTGTTGAAGGCACCAAATACTGCATCTGTATCTGCTACATGCTGCAGAATACTAAAGAGATAACAACCTAATATTTCAAGAATTGTGGATTAGTACAAGGTAGTCAGAATATTGACTATCAGTACTTATGATAAATTGATTCAGTATAGCTGTCACTGTCTGCCAATAGAGTGCTTACGTCCCAGGGATCCTGTAACACTTCAACTACTTCTGACTGAACTGATAATATAATGTGAAAGCCTCATTGCTGCATTTCAGGAAACCAAAGTTTATGATCTCTACCAGACACAGTGTATGAGTTCCCAGCCCTTCTGCAGGTAACAGAATTGCAACGATTTGCTCTGTGTACGTACAGGAGGAGAGCGTATGTATAGTACTCTTGAAAGATATCTTTGCACTAGACTCAGGGCGCTGTTCAAGATCTGAGACTACAGGGACTACAATAGGATCTACAAACTTATGATGGTAAAAATAACAAGTGTAGTTAATTCTAGGTGGCTATCTGATACCCATGGTCTTATTAGTGTAAAGCACCAGAGAGAGGCATAATAGTTTATAATAGTTGATATTGGGACCATTCTGGATCAGGTGCAACTTGTTCTAGCTAGTGATCAGCAATTGCTTGTGAATAGTAGAATTAATTTGAAGATGTTTAATGAGATTGATTGAGATGGCATCTGAGAGAATGAATGCAGTGCCTGTGGTATATCCTGTATTGCTATACAGGATACATAATAGCATCAGCAGGGAGTATTGGAAGCCCTGCCATTCTGTAGTAACTCAAAATATTGGTAGAAATAATTGTAAAACAGTAGAGCAAAAATTAATAATACAAGATTCAATCAAGTTAAACAAAATTGGATGTAGGACCACAGAATGTGTACTAGTAAAGAAAAAACAGGGTGTGGTGATGTGTAATATGGGCCTTAGGAGGAGCTGGCATCATCTTAAAGACAGGAGAAGATGTGGACATTGTGATAGGAGCCCAGGTATTAAACATTTCATTTTGGCATCTGAAAGGTAATACCATGTGCTCAGACATGATGACTTGGGGTAAATAGAGAGGAAATGAGACTTGACAGGTGGCTGTCACAAATGAGGAATGCCAGACCAGGGAATTAAATTGGTAATTAACAGATTACGCCCATAGTAACTGCCAGTAGAAACTAGCAATCAGGAAAGGAGCAAGAACAGAGCCTCAGAATGTAGAGAAAGCTTAATCTTGCAGTTGAGCTCAGGTCACAGTACTAGGATGACGACAACATTAGATTATTAACAGGACATGGTCTGAACGTATGGGTAGATAGTGGCTACTTAGAGATAGAGGAAATGAGCATTATAACAGGAGGGACACTGATGATGCAGGGGGGTATTGCACCAGACTAGTAGACCCATAAGAAGCAGGCGATGCAGGAGACACCGCGGATAAGCATACTGTATCAGGATATGAGACACACAGATCTGATGCAGAATGAACTTTTGCCAATGTTCTTCAGGCCTGCTTTTTTGCTGCTCTCCTTTTCAGTACTAGCTTCATTGTCATAACTGGTACTACTACCTCTCCCTTGGTTGATATTCTCTCTACTGTACTGGTATCCCCTCTACTGTACTGGTATTCTCTCTACTAGCTGGCTCTGTTGACTTCCTCTTAGTAGAGTTAATATAATATCTCTTACCTGCCTACTCCTCTTCTCGTCATGGTTTGATGCTTAGCTTCTCTGTGAGCTAGCCTGCCTAAGCATTGTACTATCTTGTATGTTATGCTACTTGGTATATGTTAAAGCCTATAAGCCTAGAACTCATCTTAGTAAATCTTCCTATAAAGCTTATATACTGTATCCACCAGTAGTGGTAATTTAAAATACTACTTATTTATTCTTTCTTTTGTTAACAATAATGCTAGTAGGTTTCCTTTTCTGTATTTAAATATATATAGTATAGTACAATCTTAATTCTTCTGTATGAAATTATAATACTGTAGCCAGAGTATACTGTAGTCATAATAAACAAGGAGGAATTTTATGTAAAGGCAGATTCACAGAAGTTCTTGTCCTTGATTCTCTTAAGTAACATGGCTAGTAACTCTTATCTATACCGAAGTATATCTTTTATATAACAAACAGAAAATAAAGGAAAACCATAAGTATCATACTAACATAAGTACAACCATGATTGATCCTGAAAATCTATCTAAGCAATCTCATAAAGTACCTCTCCAAAAGTGTTTGTAAAATGACCTTTTTACACCAAAATTTGGCAGGTTTGATCAACCCCCACAACTAGAATTGCTTGAAATAATCCTTGCAACCCATATAATTATTTTCACCCTCACTGCAGCTTTTACCTGACATTATTTATTTTGTCAATTTATTCTATGAGGCTAAACTACAAGTCTCCAAAGTTGACAATACCTGTTGCTATGCCATTTTTGTATGTAAAATGAAGCTTTGCAGTGAAGTCAAAACTTTAGGACTGCATAACTTCTCCAATTCTTTCCCAAAGTTATTAAGAGTTGAGTAGTAGTAGGGTGGGATTATTGTAACTACATACAGGGAGTCGGGTTGTAAAATCTTTTGTGGTTCCTACCTACCAGTGGCGAAAGATCAATGTTTTTGGTGTAAAAAGCCTATTTCACCAACACTTTTGGGGAGGTACTTTAAAACGTGTATAAATCTGAAGTGCTGTGATAGAATTATTAGGACATAATTGCAAAGCAAATGACCTATAACTGTATATAAGAAAGGTATGAAATGTATGAAAAAATTCAAGAACACTTAATAATAAAACACATGTAAATTCTAATCATATTATAAAATATTAATGAAATATACATGATATATACTCTAGCTCTAGTAATGTTTCTGATCTTATAGGTGATTCAGAAATAATATGAACTTGAAGTAAAGAAGTATATGATGTTATTAAAGAGAATATATATATAAAACAAATTAGACATTTTCAATACTCTCTCCTTTATCCTTAGAAAAGGACAATAGTTTCTTTTATATGGCAAAATGTATAGCCAGGTCTATATCAGAGGGTCTTAAAAGGAGTTATTTGATTCCCTAAGGTGTGGAGAATGATTTTAAAATTAAGGCCTCTTATATACTAGGGCATGAACTGCATGTTTGTTTTTAAGCCAGAATCAATAAGTAAATAAGGAAAACAAAAAGTTATCTGGCCCAGGAACCTGCAGGCTGGTTTTGGTATAAAGACAGATTCCTTGGCGGGTTATTAAGGATAAAAGTATAGTGGTTATCATGATCCAAGAAAGCAGATGTAAGTGTAGCCAATGTTGAGGTAGGCCACTTGGTTTTGCTTTTTAACCATTACAAATCTCTTTTCCTTGTTACTTGCTAACATGGCTGAAATAGGCTCACCTCAGCCGCAGTTTAATTCAACCTTCTAGCGGTAGGCGGAAAAAAAGCAAAAAAACAAACAGGTAATGCAGTAGAGTACGCTGGTGGCAAAAGCTCCGGAGCCTACCTAATTCTAGCCCTAACTTACCGTTCCGGCATCCTCATTTGTACCGTATGATTGTCCTCCCTCGTCAGGAACAATGAGATCTGGAAGGTATCATCCCTTAATTGGCGATAAATTACGGTGGGGTAGTTTCTCTCAAGGAAAACTGAGGCCCTACCGTATTCCACCGGTCTCTTGAGCGCAGCGACAGTGGAAGGCATGCCAAACTTGACCACAGAATCTCTCTCCTTATGATATCACATCGATCCATATCAGATCTTACCTCTCGGTATTCCCTCCCGAACCATTGAAAATTAATCGAAAAGCAACCTCACCATCCCAAGCACTCTACAAACTGGGCACGGGAATGTTAACCTTCAAATGCTCCGCCGTATAACAAACTTTCCCATCATCCTTCCTGCTGATAACCCCCTTAATTGTAGCCAGCCTCCTCCCAGCCTGGACGACCTCACTGCGAATAAGGAGCACCGTGCCCACCGGCGCCGGTCGAAAGTACGAGATGTTCAAGCTCCGGGTTATACCACTACCACCCCGTTAGCCCCCTACGCATACTCCCTCTCAGGTCCCAACGATCGCACTCACAGGTAGTCCCAGAAGCCCTCCCGGGCAATAGGCGATAGCGCTGTAGTAGTGCAAACGTCGAATATCAACGCGGCGCAGCCGCCGTGGAGGATGCCCATGCGGTTCGTGTGCGAGGGCGCTACCGTAAACTCGAAGGTACTTGTGCCGGCGGGCGCGCAGGCAGCGGAGAGGAGAGTTAGCTCGTCGCGTCGGAGCGTGGTGTCGTAGATCTTGGTTTCCGGGTTTGGGTCTATGTTGTTGAAGAAGGAGTGGATTTTTTCTGCGGGGGTTAGGGCTTTTGAGAGCCACGGGGTCTGGGAGGCCATTTTAGGTTGTGAGGCTGGGGATTGGGGAGGATTCGGATGTGGGTATGCTATCTGTTTTATTCTTGTAAAAAACCGGTACCGGTACTCGTATGCTGTACTGAAGGGAGGGACCTAAGTCTGGGTCCCGAAGTGAGAACAGTTTAATCAGGGGTTAGCCTCGGTTGGCACGGGCAGGGTCTTGTTTCAGGGGGCGGGGATGCTGGGTTTCGGATATCGCTACTGTACCGTACGGCGCTCGAGTTGCGCTATAATATGTGTGGTACAAGCTACGATAACTCTATACTTTGTAGCGATAGGAATCGCATCATCAGATACTGGTATTGCAAGTGTTAATAAGTTATCATGCCATATCAATATCGTACAAATACCCACAATTTGATATGTACCTGAGCGCAACTGCACAAATACGGCTTTCCCCCAATTTACCCCCCTTCTCCCCGCCTAAACATCGCCCCTCGCCCCTCAGCACCGCCCCTAGAGCTTTTATTCCCACGAAAGCGCTTTCCTCTGACCACTTCCACCCCCAGCATTACGGCCTGCTCAAGCACCGTTTCCCCATAGCCGTTCACAAGCCCTAAATCCGCCCCGACATCCTCCAACAATCCGACCAGATCCCCCCTCCCTTCTTCAACGGCCCAGTGCGCCGCGGTGAACTCGTCCCCGGACTTCTCGTTTACGTTGGCTCCCGCCTCCAGCAGGAGAATAACGACATCGGTCCATCCCGCGGCCACGGCTTCGTGCAGCGGCGTCCAACCGCTGTAGCTCCGGGCGTCGACGCTTGCCCCAGAAGCAAGAAGCATCCTGGCTATGTGCGCGTTGCCGTTGCGGGAGGCGTGGTGCAGTGCTGTCTTCACCGGCGGGGGAATGGGCGATTGTGCTAGGATGTACTTTATTATCTCCGTGTGCGAGTGCTTGCTCGCCCACTCCAGTGGTGAGAGGCCCAGGTGCGGTTGTAGCGTGTGCCGGAGGAGATGGGTGTGTAGGAGGTTGTAGAGGTGTCGGCAGGTCTTGTGGAGGTTGGAGAGAGTGGATGTAGCTAGTGTGGAGGAGATTTGGAGAATGAGCTCATTCGGGAGGGATTGGAATGGCATTTGTCGGTTTGTTTGTCTGTGCGTATGGAATAGCTGGGGCAGTAGTACGGGACTGAGTGGGTGGGTTGCGAGGAGGGAGAGGATTCTGTCCAGTCGAGGCAGCTTCGATGGTAATTGACGGTCTGGTGGTGGCGAAGAATCAAATATGTTGGGTGGGTACAATCTGTTGTATCTTCCATTGGGGTCAATAAAGTGCATTGGCATGTGGTCGCGGTGACTCGTACAAGTATAAAGGCAGCGCATTCCGCTCTCTCAGTGAATGTACCGCGCATTCAAGATTCCAATGCTGTGGTGCCAAGTGAGCGGGACATCACGAGTGGGGAACGAGAATCACGTCTGCGCAAAAGGTCTCGCAATATTGAAGGGTTTTCAAAAGGACTGCTACCCCATCGCATACCACCAGGATCTAGACCTTTTGCTTGGATCTGAGCAGATGCGAGGAGCAGCTCTTTTTGAATTATCTTCGACAGCGCGGCTGCGGGGAAAATAGGGTATGCCAGAAATTAGGAGTATCGGGTAAAAAGGGTTCATCACTCTGGAGTACGGTAGAGTACGGTAGGGGTACAGTAGTCTAATTCCTTGCTGTATTTTTCTTCTTCTTTTGCGTACCAAGGAAATTTGATGGAAGAAGGCCTTAATCAATGAACATGACTAGCAGTGGTAGGACAAGATAATTTGGATCTTGGTACAAGAATAGGGAAATTGAGGTTAGACTATCCCGTAGACTGTACCGAATTTCACTCACTTTTAGACCGGCACTAACATGGGGATCAGCAATAACTAATACAGAACAAGAAAGGGCAGATCGGTGGATACAAGTGCACAAACACAAGTGAGAAATAACGTGGCCGTAATACTAACCACCAACCCTCCTGTCTTTGGTACTTTATTTCATTCCTTGCCCCGGAATGAAATCCTCTTGCTATGAATTCTGTACGGTATTACACATTGCAAACAACAACTTTTTCCCCATCCCCTTTACTTCCTTCCCACCCCCCTTCCTGTGCTTCAAAAAAATTCATTTAGTTGTACAGTCGCAACTTTTTTAAACACCGTGTCAGGAGTTCCCAATACTGAAGGTAGTAGCTCCTAGAGAGAGCTATAATACAACCAGACCATATAGAACACATGGAAAGAAGGAGTGAGATTGGAGCATTTAAGCAAGAAAAGTATATGAATTAAGATGTGAGCCAAGTCTGAATGCTGGGGAAACTGAGGCAGTGAACCAAACAAATACCCACTGGTAGAAAAGTAGGTTGTTATAATCTGCAGAGCTGATAGCAAGGCAAAAATATTCAGAAGAAGTCTTGATGTCAGGAGATCATGTGTACTAAAGTAGATGTAAAGATGTGGGACATGGAAACAGAGCATTGTGACTCAGAGAACTGACAACAAAATGAAAGAGATCTATGGAGTTATAAGGCTGGCACAGCAGGCTAGATGAACTAGTTGAGCAGAAACAGGGTATGGAAATAGCATGTGGTAAGTCAGAGAACTAACAATAAGGCAAAACATATTTACAGAGTTACAATGCCCAGGCTAGTAGATCAGGTGGGGTGAACAAGACAGGTAGAAGCTAGGTATTACAGCACACCATTACTATATTGTGAAATAAGCAGAAACTCTAAATGCCATACGACAGAGACTCAGATAGATGCTGGCATCAGGACAGAATAGGATGTAAGAAGTAGGTAAGAATGTAGTCAGGATACACAGAGGACAGAGGTATTGTACATAATAGGAGAGCTGAGATGTTGAAATTCAGTATTAACAAAACAGAGTTGGCTATTATAATATAGGACTAAATGTACAGGATGCAGAGGATCTTAGGAGGAAACCATCTAGTATTAGGATGCAGCATTTATGTACCTGAAGCAGGATTTATTTTTACTAATACAGGTAAGGGGAGTGGACCATTGCAGGGATGTGCAAGGCAGGTATGTAGTATAATTATTTAAACTGTTCAAGATAAGAAATATCAGGAGCAAAGCCAGAGGTGTTAGTTGGCTGGTATTTTTTTATATACTTAATCTGGTAAATGGTAGGAGATTTTACAACATAACTGTACAGATCTATCTTTACTAGCAGTTCAGTACTGGGGATATAAAAATTATCAATGTAGGAGTTGTGATCTGGCAGGCACATTTAGTTCCCCCTATAAAGTAACAATACATAGTAAACCCAGAGGGTGATTTATAAACATTTAATGGGATATATTGAATTCTTGTATAATAGATAGTTATAAAAACTATATATGGATTAAACTGAAAATTGAAACCTGCTACTAGAAGCCCTGACCCCTTAACCTTATACTACTCCTCAATATTCTATCCCTGGATGCCATACCAGTTACAATTTAGAACATCAAGACTATGGACTGCTATCTAAATACAAAAAAATAAAATCATTGGGAGATCTATCATAATCATTAAAACAAAGGCCTATCATAATGTACCCCTCAAATAGTATCTGCTTTGTATGTAATTGGTAATAAAGGAGGTGAGAATCAAAGAACTCCTCTTGCTCTTGCTGCTACCAGGTATGATAGAAATCAACTGTTTAGGGATGGTAGTACTCTGTAAGTGTCTGGAGCAGGTTGTTGGTACACCTCTAGCTGCGTTTCAACCCAATTGAGTATGGCTTAATGTATATGATCATAGGGGTCTGTAGTATCCAACCTCTATCCCACCTCTGGTAGTAGTTTTCTGAGCTCCCATGTCTTGCTATCATGATAGAATTGTTATAGTGGTAAGGCAATCTCCCTGTAACTTTTACTTGTATACTCAAGCTGTACAAGCCAAGGAGGGTATCCAGAAAGGCCCTCATCATTATTATTATTGGAAGGGGTAGCTGCCTCAAGTGAGATGGTATTATTCAGTAGTACACTACCTACATGGCGAAATCCAGGCTGGCAATTTCGTTCAGTGATCAGAGGAGCACAAGCCTCTTTGTAAACTTTGAAGAACAATTACAATAT